GGGGTGCGGGCTGGATATCCGCCGGTATGCAAGTTGTCATGATTCCGGATCCGAAAGTCGTCACCGAAGAGCAGCGGAAGGAACCGACGATCTGCTTGGAGTCGTTGGCGGATTTCAGACCCGAGCTTTTTGGACTGCCGCCCTACGAAGAGGAACAAACATTCTTCAAGCCCGTCACCCACTGCATATTTGATCTGGACGGAACAATTTTCGGTACTGAGAAAGTCTATTTCAAATCGATCGACGGCGTCCTCCAACAGTTCGGCAAAAGGCACACGCTCGAGCTGTGCCGCAAAATCATCGGCAGAACTCGTCAGGACTATTCAAAGATCATCGTCGAAGATGCTCAACTCCCAATCAGCCCGGCGGAGTTCCTCGAACGCATGGACGTCATCAGTCATTCAATGTTCCTGAATAGCGTCCTGCTACCTGGAGCGAAGGAGCTCATCTATCACCTGTACAAGCACGGAATCCCAGCCGCTGTTGGTACCAGCAGTAACCTGGCGTCCGTCGATCTGAAGTTCACCCACCATAAAGATCTCGAGAGCTGGTTCCAGCACGTGGTCAGTGGAACTGACGATCCTGAAGTTCTCGCTGGCAAACCGGCTCCTGATGTTTTCTTGGTTGCCGCTAGAAGATTTAATCCAGCTCCCAAGCCCGAGAACTGCTTGGTTTTCGAGGACGCCCCCAATGGAGTCCGTGCGGGATTATCCGCAGGGATGCAAGTTGTCATGATTCCGGACCCTAAAGTGGTCACCGACGAGCAGCGCAAGGAACCCACGATATGCCTGGATTCTCTATCAGTCTTCAAGCCAGAGCTATTCGGCTTACCACCTTTCGACCCGACTCCCGCTCCCGAATCTCCGATACGTGAATCGGCACTGAAGAGACTTCGCGAAGTCAGTCCAACCTGTCTATCGGCTCCCGAGAAGCTCAGACAAATCGTCTCGGAATTATAAGACTTCACTCGTTATTTGTTCCAATAAAGTTATTTGTTCGATACTTTGAGTTTCAAACCCTAAATGACTGAGTTTTCTCTTCGTTCATGTGGGCTCCGAACCCGAACTGTTTAGTTCATCGACGTTCGATTCAGTTCCCGCTCGTAGATTCCCGACGGGAGAACCGGCACAAAAGAGGCATCGCGAAGTCAGTCCCGACTCCCTGTCCGCGATCAAAAAGCTCAAAAGCTCCGGGAGCGGAGAATCCAGGCGTGAATCCAAGGAAGCACCTCTCATCGAAAAATCGATCTCGAGCCGTGGGATGCAGCTGCAATATGCGACCAGATCAGCTGCTGAAAGCCCGTAAGCGAGTGACTTCTGTTGAAGATATCTCGCTTGCAGCAATTGTTTCGAGGAAGTCACCTACCGCGGAAAGTTCGGGAGCAGTATCAGATTACGATTTATTCTTCAGTTTTGTCCAGGGATGGTACATCTCGCTGAAGACGGTTCTAATTCATAGGCAATCATGACGATGAACTTCAAGCATCCTTATTGCCACACGATCATGGGTATGATTGCGACTGATACATGTAGGTGCATAAATTCTCCGATGAGGGAATCGGAAGATGAAACGGCATGCCGTTCTATTCGAATTAAGAACGTATTCTCAAGTATCTCTGCCGATCCTTTGATTCCAGGCTTGAACAGAGCGCATCACGCCGGTTGAGCCGAGGTGTGAGATTGCCACATTAGATCCGATTCCGAGTCGACTCCGCACCTCAGCTAGCGCGAGACTCGGTTCGAGTGATCTCAACGGTGTTCCATGGAACGACCAGGCGACTTTCACTCGTCCGAAGTCGCATTGGACCGAATATAGTCGGAGCCGCTAAGTACAGGTGACGATTGCAGAGACGAGGCGCATCAGAAAAACTTTGACTCGGGTTGAATAATTATAACATGGGTTTCAACCAATGGGGATCACATTCAGCCATACCATCGAGCCTCCCGAACGCTCCGAGGAGCCCGACGCGACTCCGACAAGTGACCCATGGAGGGATGAGCGTCGTTAGATTTCTGGTTTGACTGGGGGATCTGCTCCCTGAGTCATCGATCGCTCACCGTGTCTCTCACTGGCCAAGGAGACATGAGAAAGCTCTCGACAAGGAAACAGGCAGTGCATTCGCAGATATTACGACTGCAAGCCACGAATAGGGTAGAATGTTGGCTGGCACGTCGAAGAACCACCGGAGATAGACACCGTCTCGGGTGTGTCCCCGTCGCATGGATCCCGGCTCGCTGATGGCTGCTCCCGAACTCCGGGAAAAAACCTTCGCATTGCTCGGAGTCAGCAAAAATAAACTCCACCTGCCTGGACAGAATTCAGTCTCGATCGTAAGGCTCTGAACTTCAGTCCAACCTGTCAAGAGCCATCAGATATTTTGTTGCCAATATAATTATAAGATATACATAAATCCTACAAGTCTCTCAAGGGAAGAGGTCGGTCTTCAACGCTGTCTTCAAATGGCCGCTTCCACGCGCCTTCCGTAGCGGTCCTCGCTGGAATCGAGACATTTCTATTATTTCCTCCGTCATCACTCATCACACGAAGATCTCCCGGATACACTAGATGAAGTTTTCAGCTGCTGAGGAGACTGTGCGAAGAATCGCTCGGGGTCCTCCAAGGTTTTCTCTGACCCCTCTTATGAGGGGCAGTATAGAGGGCGGTGCTGAGGAAAAAGCGAGCTGAAGGAAGGAAGATCCTCATTGTCCCAGGAATGCTCCTTGTGTAGAATCGGTACTCCGTAGAGCTGTCCTAGCAAAGGGCCTCCCGGAACGTTCTTCTGAGGTCCTCCCTCGGGGAGCAGAAGAAGCCCCACCCCCCGCGTGGAGAGAGGAGGTCCATCTTTATCTTTCTTGAAGCTTCGCCTGAAAGCGTCTCAGGTGCTCAACATTTCCCAGAGGAGTCATGAGCCTTGGGGAGACTGTCTCCGCGAAATGTCTGGGCGCTACTTCCTGCATGTAAAGGACCCCGCGCACCGGACCTTCAATTCATGGCCCACCTTCCATCGGATGGCCCCCGCGGATGGTGCCCTCGCTCGGGCGACGCGCCGTCGCCCCGAGGTATTGGACTCAGCCCAGACGGGTGTATTCTGAAAACGAAGACGAGCATGACTTGCGACACGATATCTCTCATGGGCGTCTGCAGTGAAGTGTAGGCCATACGACGGAAAGTTGTCGACAGGGGTGTACGAGGAGAACGCCGACAAGGGGTGACTGATCGATCTTCCCACGGAAGAGCGTTCGAAAGCGCTCGTGGATGTTTCGTAACCATGGAGATACGGAGGACCATACTGTTTACAGGTTTGTTCAGGAATGCCGCCTTGATTTCTCTACGCGCACCATCAGCATCAGTAAAGTGTCGATCGAGCATCATTGAGCTGCTCCTGATGAATCATGGTCAGATCTCATGGAGAAATGCAGCAATAGGCTAGTCCCGATGTGCGAAGTGTCCTGGAAGGAGGTGAAGCACTTCGATTCTTCCCCAGGTGAGTCTCCACGTTTGTTGCCTATTATATACGGACGACAAACGTGCGATCGGTGGATTCAAGCAAGGATTGAGACGTATGCGAGAGAGGGACGATGCGGTGACCTATTGTTCCGCTCGGGTACTTCGATGGGACGACCTCAATGGAGTTCAGGGATTTCCTCTCGGATTTCTCCCACTGAGTCGCTCTGAAACATTTTGGAATTTCCATTTAAATCAGGCGCGTCAGTATCAACTTAGCGTAAAGGAAATCATCCATTGTCCGGGCAGGATCGAGTCTCGGCGTAATATGTTAACTCGAGACGGCAGGCGTGTCTTAAAACCCGAGACATTCCATAGCGGCACGCTCCAGCCTCACGGGGAGGTAGGATATTCTTGTGAGAGCCGGTTCCGTTCGAAGATAGCGCACATCTCCGGACGGGGTTGCAGATTCCGGAAATCCACCTCCGCTAATTCACAAGCCTCAGGCGTCAGACATTCTGAGCTCAAGATCGTAGTCATAGGTTGCGCCTATCCCCTGCCGCGTGGAAAAAGTGAAGAGCCCTAGTCCAAGATTGTCATCGAGGGAGAGCTGTGAGCCCACTCGCGGCCTAAGGTCCGATTGACGAAGTCGGCTTTCGCGAGGGTAATGCCCTTTTTCAAATATCCGTAAATCCTCCTGACGCGCGAGCCTCGCCGTCAGACCGTCAGATGGCGCTAGTCGTCACGACAGGTTGCCGGATCGCAGAGCGGCGTCTCCTGTGCACGTCAAAAGCAACACAGAACCGAATTCTTCTGCCCCTCGTGAAGTCGGATAACAACGGTTTCCGTGAATCGTCCCTTCAAAAATCACACTTCCCGTGCGAATCGGGTTTACGTGGATACTCAGGAGAGTGACAAGTGCTGGGAGCTCCATTCGAGTTCGAGGAGCGCGCCGGACTTAACCTCTCAGACGTTAATGTTGGGAGACCGTGATTCAATGCGGAGAGTTTAAGGATGAAACGCGAGTCGTTGGAGTTCTGAGGAAAAGCACCAAAGGTATTGAAATTTCTTTGCATACTATCCAGTCGAGAGAAGAACGCGATACTTTGAGATACCTTTCATGTAGAGGTGTGGCGTGAGTGTCCCCAAGAACAGAAGTCAAGAGATACATCTGAGGGAACATGAATTTTTTTCGATTCAATCATCGATCTCAGTCGATGACTTCCGCCTCTCCTAGTTATGAGACAGCAGAGCCGGCAGGCAGAGATGTTAGCTCACTCGCAGTCAAACCGAACTTAGTCATCGGACTTGTATTTTGGAGCAGTTCCAAATCATTCTATTCGCGGTGATAGATATTGAATACACCCCGGCCCTCACTTAAGCCATATCTGCGAATCAAACTCAGGGCGGAATTCGGACGTCTTCAACAAGGAACGAGCTAGCGAGCTCCATACGATATACTTCGGAAGAAAATGATTCTCCGCGATCAGAATGACCTTACTGATGATTCTCTTCCCATCGTGAAGGTGGAGGAATGGTTTCTCCGCAGAGAGTATCAGAATTCCAATGGAGCTAAAACGACAAAAGCTCAATTTGCGCAGCCATCATTCCGGGGGTGTTAGAGAACGAAAATGTTTGAATCAGACTGGCTTTCGCCCTAGACGTTCCTTCACGCCATTGGATCGTCGCCGTCGTTGCTGGTGTTGTTGTTGTCGGCGCCGCTATGCCATGGTAACGGAAAACTAACAAACCACCAGAAGAGAAAGCTGCACCTGTCGAAGAATTCTCGGACGGTGAATCTATTTGGGGGTAGAACTGAAAGGGAAGCTAATATCGGCGCAAAGACTCCGTCTGAAGTCTCGGATGCTGTTGTTCGGACCCGAAGTCGGGAGACTTGCTCGTCGCGCGCTCCAATTCCGCCCAATGTATTAAAACGAAGACCATGCGGACTCCGAGAGATCTCCCCCGAGCTGCGCGAGTGAATTGAAAACTGCACATAAGACCGCGCAGATTGGTCTACACCCTGAATTTCGATCTTTCCTCGGCTCGAATTCTTGTCGGTTTGATCTAAATTCAGGCAGGGTGTACCTCGACGCCGAGTCGCTTAAGTATTGTTCTTGTGCCTTCTGACTGACTTAGGCAAGGCGGTTGGCCCGGCGAGAAGGCAGAACGGTCGCCATACAACGACCGAAAGACTGCGGCTCAGAGGGGAAGTAGGCAGGCCCCGTAATGAAGATCGTGATGAGGATCGCCTACACAGCACAACAAACCTATACACACCGCGCGGACCAATACTGATGATTACTCGCTCTTACCCTCACAATTAGTTTAAGACAGCCGATGATCCCAAGCTGATTGATTCTCGACAGCATTCAATTGAGCGTTTTGACGCCTGATGTCATCGTTGTATCAATAAATGCCTCTCGATTCCTTATGTAAGCATCTATCGGCTCTTCGCTTCCCGGATGTTTTTGTCAGATCCGATCGATATTGAAATTGGCTGTGGAGCCCATCCGAAGCGGAGGAATAATTTCTCTTCTTGATTCGATGTCTCATGATCGCATCCGGAAAATCGTCTTCCGAACGATTTCCGACACTCGAGCTCCCAGCGGATATAATTCCAGTCTGATTTCAGTGTTTCACAGACGTCTGCCAACGAGGCGGTGAGGGACAGACAGTATCGGGTTCGCCCGCCCGGAACAATTGATCGACTCGAGAGAATCTTCCAGTTTTGAATAGGTGCCGATTCAAATCACAATTTTTTCGCAGATGTGGTGGGTTGTTTTAGTTGTCGCTGCGGCTTGGGTGCTGCCCACCGGTAAATCCCAGTTTAGCGATGCTGGAGGTTATGGACAATTCGGATTTGGATTCGAAAACAGCATAAAAACCCTCCGAGAACCGTAAGTTTGGCTGGCAAATGATTTTCGATGAAGCCATAAATCGTAGAGAGACCGCTTCGGGACTCGGGAATCTTCGCGCTGTAAAACCCATAAAATCATTCTCAGGACGTATCTCGTCGTCGCTTCCCGCTACGTTCGTCCGGGTCAAATCTACCGGATATACGTGCAATTGTTCGGGACAGAGAACGACAGTCCCATCAACATAATCGCAGCTATACAGAGAGATGGAGTCGAAGTGGCACACGCATCAGAACAAGTGATACCCGGCATGGACACCGATGTTCTGATGCAGGTGCCCACAACCAGTGTACAGGGTCGCTATAAGCTTCGCGTGGAAGGCAACGTCAACGGCGTTCTCGGAGGGACGGCTTTCGTGAACGAGACCGTCCTGGAGTTCTCGCAGAGATCCATGACGATTTTCGTGCAGACAGACCGACCGCTGTATATGCAGGGTCAAATTGGTGAGTGTGTTGAGAACTCCGTCATTTTTTACGGGCAGTGAAGCCGGATCGGAAGTCCAAATGTCGACGTAACGAGGGTCGAGAAAGTTCCCTCAGAGCGAAATCTCTCTCTCTCTTCCACAGTCAAGTTCCGAGCTCTTCCTCTCACAACGCAGCTGAGGGCCTTCTCCGATGCCGTAGATGTCTATATGCTTAGCCCAAATCGGACGATTATGCGTCGATGGCTTTCCCGTAGAACAAACCTCGGAGCAGTTTCGCTCGAATACCCGCTCTCGGAGCAGCCCCATTATGGTGACTGGACGATTCAAGTCGTGGCTCAGGGTCAGGTGGAGGAACATCAGTTCCGGGTGGAAGAGTACTACCAGACTCGTTTCGAAGTAAACGTCACGATGCCCAGTTATTTCGTCATGTCGCAGGAGTTCGTCGAAGGATCTGTCATGGCCAAGTACGCTCATTTACCCTGTGCGAATTCCGCACTTTCCACTCGATCGATATCGGCCGATCAGGGAACGTCCTTCTTATTGATGGTATTGATATTTTCTCAAATCTTCACACAGTTTCACATCCGGGGCCGCTGTCAACGGAAACCTCACATTGAGAGCCAGTGTAGAACCAGTCAAAGCGACGTACGACATACAGTATCAATTCGTGCGGTCTATCGAGCAACATTTCCGGTGGTTCGAGGGTTACATGACGTTCAAGTTTGCCGTGCGTGATCTTCTGATGCTCAGTCCCAGACTCGAGGGGATGAAGATCGTGATCAAGGCAGAAGTCGGAGAACGTTTCCTCGACCTCATAGAATTCGGAGAATCAGCTACCGTTGTTTTCAACTCCACGCTCAAGCTCGCTTTCCTCGGAAATTCACCCCAGGTCTACAAACCTGGAATGCCCTTCAAGGCTTACGTGAGTGCGCATGGGAACTGAAGATGAAGAAGATCGATATCTCTCGGGCGACAGGATAGTTCTTCGACGGTCGGACTCCGGTTTCAGGTCGCACTTTCGTATCACGACAACTCACCGATAGAGAAAGGAACTCTGGTCGGACAACGAATCGACGAGTATCTGCGCATAAGCGTCAACGGAGCCCGGGGCAGCGGGAACGTCGTGCCGGTACCCGTTCCAGGGCAGAAGAATATGTGGGAAATCGCTTTCGATACAGGTGCCCCGGCGGGTGGGGCAGAGATCAGTCCTCCGATAATCAGGATCGAGGCAAGTCGATAGTGCAACCTGTTTGATTTTCGCCGAGCACGCGGCGCCCGTTCCTGGGATCGCCAAGGTCACTAAGAAAAAGAGATTTGTTCCAGGCCTCGTTTTTCGACGATTTCTTGGGACGGACCGGCACAGAGCTCCTACTCTATCCGGAGTTTTCTCCGAGCGGATATCATATTCAAGTGACCACCTCGACGAAGAATCCGAAAGTCGGAGAATATATCGTGCTCCACGTTCGTGCCAACTATTTCGTGGAGAGATTCTCGTACCTCGTGGTATCGAAGGGTATGGTTCTCCTCAGCGGTTACGAAGTAATGCAGAGCTCTTCGATCAGGACCATGGCGGTCTCGTTGAGCTCAGAAATGGCGCCGTCTGCAACCATAGTGGTCTTCGATGTGCTCAAACGAGAGGGGCGAATCATCGCGGATTCGCTCACGTTCCCCGTGGATGCGATTTCCAAAGACAAATTCACGGTGCAGCTGAATAATCGAAAGGACAAAACGGGAGACAACATCGAAGTGGCAATTTATGGTCCACCGGGCACGTATGTCGCCCTCTCGGGTCTTCAACGAGCGCTGTACGAGATGCACGCGGGTACACAGCTCAGCTACTCGGAGGTTATCGAGAAAATGAACTCCTTCATTCCCATGAACGGAACGCTGAAACATGAGACCTTGTCCCATACGGGTGACGCCAGCCTCTTCGTCAACTTCCCGTCATCGTCATATGGCTTGGACGCGAACCGGACGTTTTCCGTGAGTAACATAAGCGATAAAGCCAGGAAGCTGTCCCAGGTATTCTGGGTCCTCAGGCGGAGATCTCAGCTGAATCATCGGTTTGCAGTATGCGGGACTGGTCGTCTTCACCGATGCTAGCGTGACACGAGTCCGCGAGGAGTGTAACATCACCGCAGGCTACCTGGGTTGTTACGACGGCTCTTGCTATCCTGCCAGCCGGCGCTGTGACGGCTTCAGGGATTGTTCGGATGGCTCTGATGAGACGGCGTGTCCCGAAAACCGGATCGACATCAAGAAATTCCGCATGTTCAGAACGAACCGTTATCTCCTCCAGTACACGAACGCTTGGCTATGGAAAGACATAAACATAGGGTCCCTAGGACGCTACATTTTCACCGTGCCAGTACCTGACGTGCCCACGCAGTGGATGATCTCCGCTTTCGGGATGACTGAAGCAAACGGTTTCGGAATCGTCTCGAAACCGATATCGGTTCGTAGGATGAGTGCCGAGGATTTGTCTTTCAATCGTTTCATAGCTTCGGCGCACCAGGAATCGCTTCTGCATTCAAAATATGTGGAGATCGTCATGAACAAGGCACTATTTTTTCCCACAGTTCTCGAGTGCTAAACCATTCTACATGACTGTGGAGATGCCGGGCAGGATTCGGTTGGGAGAACAAATCGGGGTTCGAATCACTGTATTCAACTACCGACACTACGAAACCGAAGTTCTGATCACCTTGGCGAATTCACCCGACTATAAGTTCGTTCACGTGGATCCATTCGGTTGGGTCAACTCATACAGACCGAAGACGAGCTTCGGCGAACATCAGCATCTCGTCTTCGTGAGTGATACATTTGGCTATTATTTTCCGCGTCTCGCCGTGAACGCTAGTCTACCATTCTCACACGCTTTGCTTCACCGATGTCTTCAGGTGAAAGCTGGCAAATCGTTCGAGGTCTACATGCCCATCGTCCCGGTGCGCTTGGGTGAAATCAACGTGACAATCTTGGCGAAGACTCAAATCGCCAAGGATCAAGCCACGAAGACAGTTTACGTCGAAGCCGACGGAATCCCTCAAGAGAGACACATTTCAATGCTGCTTGATCTCTCCCAAGGCGCCTACCTCCTCAAATACTTGGACACAAACATCACCGAAACACCCATTTTGCCCTTCCGAGAGGATCGTCTCTATATATTCGGAAGTAACAAGGCCACAGTCTCCATAGTGGGAGACGTGGTGGGACCTGCTTTCCCCACGATGCCGGTCAACGCATCGAGCTTGATCGAAAAACCTGCCTTTTGCGGGGAGCAGAACATGTTCAATTTCGCCGCCAACATGTGGACTCTCTTCTACCTACGTTTGACCGGTCAATACAGACAGGGCGATCAGAAAGAAGCGTTTACGTACCTCAACTTGCGTGAGTCGAACCTCTGGTTATCTAAGAAATTCCGTCCTCTCTGAGCTATTACCTGTTATTCTATAATAGTTACCTCCAGCCAGAGTTCCTAACCCGATACCGATTTCAGTGTACCAGCGCCAACTGCAGTTCCAAAACGACGACGGCAGTTTCACTGTTTTCCGTTGGGATCGTCGACCGAGCGTTTGGCTGACAGCGTTCGCTCTGAGAACTTTCCAAAAAGCGACCTTTCAGGAGTGGGAACACTATATCTACATAGACCCAACCGTCATCAGGAGAGGAGTAGCATGGCTGCTCAGCACTCAATCAGATGAAGGCAGTTTCCACGAGTTTTCGATATATCCATACGATCGGAAAATGAACTCCTACTCCGAAGGCCATTTCGAGCGTTTGAAGTACACCAACGTCTCGCTGACCGCCCACGTGCTCATAACGCTCTGTGAGGTAGATACGGAGCAGAATCCCGATTCATGATCCCAATCCCTGATATCGCGTCTCCTTGCTCTCCGGAGCCGGCGAAACTGGTGTACGTGGAAATCAAAAACGTTCGCCCTCCACAGGTCAAAGATATCGGTGGAGACGTAGGAGCCCGCATGGCCACGGCAAAGGGCTCGGCCCGACGTTATCTGGAGCAGAAACTCAACATCATCAGAAATTGGGAAGATCCCTTCGAATTGGCAATCGTCGCGTACGCCCTCACGATTGCGAACAGCGACGATGCCGAAGACGCTTTCAAATACCTCGACGATCGCAAGATGGAAGCCGCCGGAATGATGTGAGTCGTCTTTTTACGGAGTTATCGTTTCACTAAGTTTCCGCTAACTCACTTGCGGTAATCTGAACCAAAGCTCAAAGCTCCTCTTCTATGCAGCTATTGGGGTCGGGTCAGGGTGGATCCTCCGCGCGACAAATACGAGAATCAGCGGCCGTACCGCCAGCCGAGGCTGCCCGCTCTTTACGAGTCCTCCAATGTGGAAGGAACGGCGTACGCTCTCCTGACGTTCGTGAAAAGGAACGCGGTGATTCAAAAAGAAATCGTCGAATGGCTCAATTGCCAGCGACTGCATGACGGAGGATGGTCTAGCACACAGGACACCGTGATCGCCATGCAAGCCCTGACCGAATACACAATCCAAAACCGGCTGAGCGATGTTGTGGATCTAACAGTGACGGTCGACGCCCCATCAACGCCGGGCTTCACTCGCGAGCTCAGAATCAGTGAGTGGAGTTTTCGTTCTTGAGCTCGCGCCGCGTTTCCAACGAGTCCGTGGACGAATCAGTCTGGGTTTCTCCGGGAGATCGCTAAGTAACATGTGTCATCCTTGCAGATAAAGAGAATCTCAGCAAAAGGCAGGCGCTCACGATTCCGAACGCCTTCGGAGGTGTACTTATCAAAGTTCAGGGTTCTGGACTCGCCATTCTGCAAATGCATGTGCAATACAATATCGACACGTGGAAACACTTGGTGACGCAACCACCCGCTAAGGCATTCGACCTTGATATACGGCAGTATGCCTTTGGCAGAAATAATTCCCATATAACATTCACGTGAGTTCAGCTCGCTCATTCGACCCTTGAAAAATTCCACGGCTCCGTAGGACAGATTTCGTGAGGAATCGACAGAGAAGAGAGCCAACCACACTCGTCGAAATTTCCAGATCATGTCAACGATGGACTCGTCTCGAAGAATCGATGGCCAGTGGGATGGCGGTTCTAGAGTTCAACCTTCCGTCAGGCTACTATGTGCAGCAGCAGCGTCTCGACAGCTACGTGCGATATGCTAGGGTCCGAAATCTTCGCGAAGCCCGCTACCAGGAGAAGAAACTGGAGATGTACTTCGATTATGTAAGTCCGAAGTTCCTCCACCTGGACCTCACAGTCCATCATGAGACTTGCGAGTTCCATCAGACCAGAGACTGGAGGGCGTTGGAATTACCGCGACAGGCAGAGGATTAAATTGAATTTTCTTCTAGCTCGACGATGAGCCAATTTGTGTGGACGTCACGATAAGCCGGTGGTATCCGGTAGCGAATATGTCACGTTACATATCGATTAAAGTCTACGATTACTACGCTCCTGGTAAGAATCTGTTGCCTCCACTCTGCACGGAGTGAGAAGAATAAGGGGTAATTTCGGAGTCCGTCGACCGAGTCTGACAAATCTCTTCTCCTCGGTGAAGTTTTCCGTTTACCGCATGAATCCCTCGATAATCCCGTCTCAACATTCCAGAGCGCTTCAACGAATCGATGTTCGAGATGTATCATCTCTACGCTATGTCCATCTGCCATGTTTGTGGTTCTTATCAGTGCCCCTACTGCCCGGTCTTCAGCGACGCAGCTAGGTTGCGTGTCGGCCTCCTCATTTACGCTGTGGTGGTCCTCACAGTTCTGCGCGCAATCAACTTGATTCGGTAGATTTACTCTCAGGGAATGAATGAGAAAGGGAGATCTGAGAGAGTGAGTGTATATACAAGTGTGCTGATGATTTCCTGAGATGCTTTCCCGGTATATTTTTACACCACTCGAAGCGCAGCTCGTCTCGCAGTGTCAACAAAAGCGTCACTCCTGACTAGTATTTATTGAGATGAGATATTGAGACTGTCTCTTCATACGAACTACGAAAATAATTGTTCTCTGTGTACATTGAACGCAGGATGCGGTCTGCATCTATCAAGCTCCTGAGCACAAGGAGAGACACTACAAAGCGATAATCGAGATGATTGAGGAACCATAACGCCGCAATATTTTTGTACATATAAGCCAGAATACGGGCGGTGTTCTCACAGAGCGATGGATGGTATGCCCAGTCTAATAAAAGATGCTTACAGGATGGCCGAGATTTCTAATTCCTTTCAATCATGAATAATAAGTAGCCTCGAATTCGTGTTCACGATTTCCGCTCTGAGGATGGAAGAGTGAAGTGAGACATCGGCGAAGATGGATACGAAACCATGTACAATGGAGATGCCAGGGAGTTTCGATGGAATGTCTATAGCACGACACGCGATGCCGATGATTGAAGTCATTTGCGCGCATCCTCATGACGCTCCGCAATTAGGCATTCTATTCGATATTTATTCCGTATGAATGACCGTGCCCATTGTGGTATGAATAGCCTGATCGGCATCTGAGTATCGGTGAGATACAATTTCGAACTGGCGCTAGGGAGCCCGGATTCTCCCGTCGGAACGGCCGAAGAGCAGTTATCTCTACGGGAACTCCAAATAAGGGACATTTTTCGGAAAGCTCCGAAGCGGGCAAGGGGCAAGACGGCCAACAAAAGAGGCCGTGTACCCTCAGCATAGCAACTAGCAACTCGCACCATTATCGGAATGTCCCGCCGTCCAACGCTAAAACGATCGGGTTGTCTCCCATCGAGCGTCATAGGTGGTTCATTGCCAGTAAGGAAGATGAGCCAGCTGCGGAACTGTACGGTATCCCGAGCTGGATTGCTCAGTTCTACCAGGAGCCGATGGGTGGAGAATTTCCGATGGCATAATCCCACACACGCTCGAAACTTCTAGCTCGTGTCGACGAAAACAAGAACTCATGTTGTTGTCGTCGTCGTGTATACTTTGACGAACAACAATCAACGGGCCCTCACTGCTCTGGCTAATTCGAAACACCGGTGTGAATATAACCAGCAGGCGGGATTCGAGAGAAAATTGGGGGAATGATCTCAGTTTCGCAACGCGGGAGAACATCATAGCGGAGTTTTTCTCAGTGTCCACGGAATTCTACATTGGAGGCCCTGCGAACGACTATTCAGGTGAGCGGATCGAGCCAGTGTCAGTTCCGAGACGCCGACAGGATCATCGAATTCCCTATATCGATGTTTCTGATGAATCTCGCCTAGCTTACCGGTGCTCGTCGATTCGAGGGTGAGCCCGGACGAGGCGCTGCGGGATAGGAGAGGGAATGCTGGTCTCGCTCATCAAGGGAGCAGATCTCATGGCGCGCAATCGGTGTCCGCGGCTATCATTTGGTTTAGCAACCCTATCCACTTGAATGTGAGGGCCGTCAGATGCGGAGATATATCCCCCGACTGCCTGTCTTTCATCCGGGCTATTTTTAGGGGCGGAGAACACCGATGGAATTCTGGTCGAATGCTCGTTGAAAATCGGGGAAAATGAAACCATTGCGATGATCTATGGTTTGCAGCGATGCCTAAATTGCACGTTCGGATGTTTTCAGAAACATGGAAGAGTTCGAATCACTACTCGGGTCTCGCGACTCCATCATGGAGCCAACAATCTTCGGAACTTTGAAAAGTTTCTTACAAAACGGAGGTGATCCCGAGAAAGCTGTCGATCTCCTCATAGGAAACTACCATGCCGTTGCTCAGACTGCCAATCTTCTTGCCGAGTGGCTCATAATGTCTGGGATGGAAATAAATGAGGTACGTCATACGTCACGATCCCCCCGTTCATCTGTGTATGTACATACAAGAAGCGGCTCGAATTACCCTCGCCCTTCTCGGGATTTCTGTAAACTGAATGAAATGGAATTGCTCCGCAGGTCCAAGCACTGGTGGAATCTCAACTCAAAAATATGCTGGTTCGACACTTCGAGCCCTCAAAAGCCGATGCCGCCATTTTCGACGGCGAAGGAGAGACTCCGGCATGGCTGGCTCAGATGATCGATCACCCGGCCTGGAGAAAACTCATCTATAGCCTCGCCGAGGAATACCCAGACTGTCTGATGTTGAACTTCACAATAAAACTGATCTCCGACGCCGGTTTCCAAGCGGAAATCACATCGATATCAACTGCGTCACAACAACTCGAGGTGTTCGCCAGGGTCTTGCGAACAGCTCTCAGTGGGTGTCTTGAAAAAGCCCCCAACGAAGACCGTTTGGCTGAACTCGCAAAACTCATCGGCCACGGTGAGCACACCTACCTCTACGCTCAATGCCTGCTCCATGCGCTGAGCCTCGAAGGACTGTCTCGAGGAGGTGCATCTGCGAAACGACTGGCCCACGAGATCCGGAAGAGGAGCAGACCTACGCGAGACACGACTCCGATCGCCATGGCCTTGAGCGGTGCGTTGACGAAACACCCAAAAGCGTGCCAGGCCATGGCGGCCATGCTCGGGAAGAACGCTCTGAATCCAGCCGACGTCACCATACTTTACAATCTTTACAAATCCAACGATCCGCCACCTGTGGATTTGATCCGAGAACCGACGCTCCTCGAACTTCTGCTCGACGCTCTCTTCAAACCGGGATCGAAAATTAATCCCGACCATAAGCCCAAGTACATCTTCCTCCTGGCTTACGCATCCAGCGTGTTCGAGCAGACCACAAAGAAAGGTCCTCGTAGAGCGCCTGTCCTAAACAAAGACGAACTCGTCCGCACCCAGGAATCGATTGAGCAGATGTGCACAATCTGTGCAGAGCCGAAAATCAGTGATCTCCCCACACTTTTCGATTGTGTGCAATTACCTGTGATGGCCATGGCTGCGATACATTGGGCTAGATACATCGTGAACGAAGCGTCGTATTTCAAGCTGAACACGGAGCATGTTCCTATGCATTTGGCACTCCTCGATGAGGTCGCGATCTGTCAACCCACATTGCACGATCGCTTACTGAAACTTTACAGCGATCTCTTCGAGAAACCATTCGACGCAGAGCTGGATGTGCTCGTCCTGATCGAGATCCGCAAGATGCTTCTCGACAGAATGATACATCTCGTCTGTAGAGGCTGCGTCCTGCCTGTGCTGAACTACATCACGGGCCTGTATCAGCGACAAGACACCGATATTTCGCTGATTCGATATTTTGTTACGGAACTGCTGGAAATCATCGCCCCACCGCTCACCCCGGAATTCGCCTCAGTGTTCCTCCCCCTCGTCCAGAATAAGGAGATTACCGGAGATCTTCCACCATCCCAAGACGGTACTGATCTTGTGACCCAATTCATCCAGCAGGCGACCAAAGTCATCGGGAAGTCTTCCGAGAAATCATGAATTAGTCTCAAAAGGTCCGAGGGTGAAAGCAAGACATCGGGCATATGGCCGGATCCTGCATGGCGTAGGATACTTGAAAGTCCCATCACGAAGGGAGTCGGGGACGATCCGAACTCCAGCGCCTTGAGCTCGACACGCGCAGACTGCCATGGACAGTGGAGCGTGTTGTGAGACTGTACGCTGCATTGGTCGATGAAATAACCTGTATAAATCCGAGGGTACAAGACAAATACTTGCAGGCCCGTTTGAAGGTGATGAAGGGTTCGGGGAACGCTTCTCGAGGTGGATGATCTCGCGTTCAATAAAGTCAAGCAAGCAACATTCGACCAAGTCATCAATTTATTCAACCCTACCACTTTTTTCACATCGGGCAGCTCTAGGAACCTGACCCGCTCCGAAAGCTCTAGCATTCCTCGCCAAGTAACGGTTCATAACCAATGAAATAGGAGGCTATAAAAGTACCTATGACTGATGTACATTGAATGGAAACCATTCTGTTCTATGCTCTAATCTCTTGTGCTCGTACTTTTTCATTGCTTCGGAACGTTTTTGGAAACAGGGTACTCAGAGGAGAGCAAGTCTGTCATGCTCACTTATCGCATTGACCTCGATGAACACGAACATTCGAGGGGGAATTTACAGACCCGATCCGGCAGCCGGAGAGGACTCTCGGGGTCGCAAATCCCGAAAGCTCGATCGATCGACTCCGAGTGACAACGATTCAGGATGTGCCCCAACCGAGGCCTTGGGAAGCTCTAAGAAGGAGTGTTCTTGTCTGCTTCGGCATGAGATCGGATTTCTCTTCGAGATTCGATTTCTGCGGCAGTTCATCGAATCTCGCGACGGATATCTATTCCTTTGAGCCACGATTCAAGGTCGTTGACACTTGACCTCCGTGAACTAGAATTTATCCATCCAGAGGGCAGATCGCAGCCCTCCAAATCGTCTGAAGTCAACAAGTCCGCGCATCTTTGACCAGAAATGAAAGCACCGTGAGCGGTTGAGTAGAACGAGCTATGAGTGGCTTCTCCTGCGAAAAGTATCTTTGGCTGAAAACGAATATTTTTCTCCTTAGACGATTCCGAGCATACTGTTTATATACGTCAGAGGAGGTGGAACGAATAGAGCAATGCTCACAAGGAGGTTCTAACAACTCACCCGACTCTGAAGCGTCTTGGTATAGACGGGTTTTGCGAGATTCTCGATATCTTGCTGACTCGACTGCGAGCTGAGGCTCGTGAAAGAGCCCCGGCTGAAAGCGTCGCTTTTCCATGACGATCTCGCGAGTTTAATCGGACGTGGCACGTAGGGATCGGATAGAAGATTCCGCAGAACATCGGTGATCCTGTCGATTATCTCGTCGTCGTCGAGTGTCTCGACGAGCTCAGCCTCAGCACCAGAGAGCCAGCAACAAAGGATTGTATCGGTCATTCTCGTGAATGAGAATATTTTTTTCCACCATTCGGCAACGACGTAATCACAAGGCTCCCAGAGACAGACGACCTCGCTGATCTCCTGGAAGCAACTCACAATGATCTCGGTCGTCTCCACGGTGAGTTCACGGAACTTATTCCTAAGTCGGGAGTCGGGTCGCATGTTGTACTTGCGTGCAATACCGCGTACAAGAATGCGCGCACTAGAGGCAGTCCCATGGTGGGAAGGCGAGAAGCCTCGGCGCCCCCCTGCCCGACGGAGTTTCAGGTCCCGAAGCTGTCCAATCATCGCTTCTAGCCCTTGCTACCACGAGACTTAGACTACACACCCGGCCATCGAGGAAGAAAGTCCGACCTGCTACTGGGGCCCAGTCTGAGAGTCTCACCTTATTCAGAACGGGTCTGTTGAAATGAAAGTAGAGCTTATTCACCGTGCCGAACTGCAGTTTCTCGATAGCTTGTTTCTTCGCTGAAGGTAGATGAGGTACGAACATGTCGACAGATTCCTTGAGAACCCCCAAAGGCAGGGTCACCACAAGGTGTGCGCAATGGAATACTCCGCTCGACGTCTCGATCCGCACCACATCCGCGTCGGGCGTCTCAGATGCGGTTCCCCATCTAGGAAGGCGAAGATTTATTATCAAATGATGCCAGACGCGATGGAAAATTACTGATTCCCCGGTCTGAGCGCTTCTTAACCTACCTGATTTTCTCGACTATACATTTCAAACGGATCTTCTCTTCGCCGATCTCTCTGCAAAGACATTGGCAAATGTCCGCAAAGGGACCTTTCGACAGTGAGACATTACCCCCAGGCAATTCCGTGAAACTGCCGTAGTCCTCAAGAGAAATGCTATCCATCGAGTCGGTGCCACTGATGCACGTGTCTCGATTTAGAACGTGTGTGAAGACCATTTGACGGAGCTTCTTATCATCGCCGTGGAATTGCCGCAGATAAGCGCTGGAATGTTTCAAGAAAACGTTTGAATCGGATGAATTCCGATCCGGTGCTCCGAAACGGTAATCGGGACAGTGTCAAATATGACATTTCCAGTCGAGCTACCTCCGTAGCAGATCAGGAAGTACCCACTCGATATCCCTACAAATGTGCTTTCCAACTGAGTTGTTGAACTCTATCGGTGGTGAGAGTCGGGTGAGATGATACTCTTCGCAGCGCTTCCCAAACCAGAAATACGCCGAATAGATCTCATCAACCAAGTCCAGAGGAACCTAGCAAGAGGGTAACGTCAGATCTGCTCAAACCCCCAGAGAGCGCAGAGATTCTAACTTGTCAGTCAAACTCCTCGGAGTATGGGAGGAGGTACGACGGAGGTAACACGCATGAAGTGTATGTTAATGCGACGATGGGGACTTGATTCTCACCTGATTGCCTTTCTCCGTTGCCGCAACTATATTGTGCTCGACAGATTTCTGATCGTTCAATCCCACGAGTCCCTGAGCCACAGCGAACTCGTACAACGGATTGCCCAATACTCCGTGGATCCATTTCGGTCCCAACTCCACGACGACGTCCCCTGCGCAAAGGTTCATAGCCATCATGGATTCAGATTGATCACAGCGCACAAAAAATAATCACCTCCCTTTATTGGGACAGCCACCATTATTTAGCAGTCATAGCCTATTAGAGTAGGGCCTCCCTCATTCGCTTGAACAAAAACGCTAATAAATTTTAATGAACAAATCCACCCAATGGGAGCCACACGCGGAAAAATGCCGCTCAACTATAAGTATAGGTTGAAAAATTTCAAAACGTTCAACCACTCCGCCCGGTTACGCTAGACTGCTTCCAAAGTTATCGCACAATCAGCTAGAATTCGGATTTTTGTGAAGTCATCACAGAGGGTTATTCAGAAAATGCTCCGCGTCATTTCCTCCGGCCCTTCTGGAGGGATAGTACCGACGTGAATTTCTCGGGTTTCCTCAAGATCAGCTGATCACTAGCTCGTGGAGATTCTTAGTGTGATCCTTCCAGGCGGCTGATCCCGAAACGGGACCCCTGCTCCATTCTCAACCAAGAAAGAACGTGTACTCCGGAACAAGACATTCGCCTACTTCCATGGGATCAGAAACGTGATCCTGTTCAGCGACCCAGGTCATTCCATAGTAGTATGTAGATCTCAATATCTACCTACCCAACTTCGAATGATTTGCCCTTCCTCCAAGGCGGTCCCGCGCCTCCAAAATTAAGACGTCCGTTTCAGGTTTCTCGCTGAGTATGTGGTACGCGGTAGACAGACCGGCGATGCCAGCCCCGATCACTATAATATTATGGAAGTTTTCTAATCGCTCTCTGATCTTTTTCAGGCTATTCGGAACTTCTCGAATCGACTGTGGAGAAGATCCCGCACTGGAAGCAGCCATTGAAATCTTGAGGCCCGATTCTCGTCGCTAGGAGGAGAAGCCTAGCTCCCCGGCGTCTGCCAGCCGTTACCTTCGCCGTGATACGTATTTTCCGACGCGGTCCTCGTGCTAACTGGATAAATCGACGCGGACGATATCGATACTCTCGCCGAGCTCCTCGACGGCTGATGAATTCCCTGTCCGGGCTGAGAGAAATGTCCGTCGGCGAGCAATTAGCCGTCTGATTATGATATGAATCTTAGCACCCATGAGTCCCTTCGAGAGTCGTGTGGACCTTCCCGAGGGGCTGGTGACAGACCGGTCGTGGATGAACCCCTCAATCTCAAGCCTCGAAGCCGAGCTGTGAGGAGGGTATCCGGCCACTCAAGTACTCCCTGCTTGAACCGAAGTTCGTATGATTCTTGAACCGTGAAATATACAGCGAATTCACGGGGACCCGCGAATGAGCATGTCTTCCTCTTCGGACCCGGACTCGGTCAGTATCCTGCGACGCATGCACCGTGTCGCATTCGGCCAGCCGATAGACGAATGATACGCAACACCGGCGTTTATCGATTCGTTACTGGTATCGATGCAGTCGCCCTCACTCCAGCTGATTCGAACGGAAATCCATGATTTCAGGCGTTGTAAATCGCTGGTAGTAAGTCTTGGCATTTCGCAGACCGTGAGCCGCTCTCTTATCTTCAGTGGGTCAGAATGGCTAGTCGAGGAATTAACAACTCCCAGCGATGAGAACAAGCACGCTAGGCTCTGGAAGAACATCGGCCGTCGTGATTAAGCTCATTCTCAGCGAAAGGGTTGACCGCTCCAAGATTCGACGCTGGAGAGCCATGCTCAGCTCCCTCGATAGCTAACTTGACAGCAGCCGCTAGGAGATCTCCTGTCTATTCTTTGCCCTGGGCGCTTTGTCAACATGGCCGTCGTGAACTTCGAACTCCACGAAATATGAATTGAATTGAGGGTGTTTCAATCATGAGGGTTGGCGTCGAAGGGGAGAGCAGAAGAAGCTTTTCTCACAATCTGTGCTCAAGAGTGTACTTGACTTGGACTTGATAGAGATATCATTCAGTTGAGCCAGCGGTCGTTGTAGCTTCGACTTTTATCTCGAGAGCTCTTAGATTGCGCTGCAATTTCTGCTCACGTTTGCTCACGCCACGGCGCAAAAACGTTCTTCTTTTTTTATAATCGCAGGGAAAGATAAATCGATTCTTCTCTCATTTGCAGCGTTCCATTTTTGAATCCATGCGAGGAAGTGGAGAAAATCGAGTTATCAAAATCGCGTGTCTCTGAATGAGCTAACCGGTCGGCCAGCAGCCGACAGGTGGGCCGGTCGGTTCGCCGATCGTCTTCACATTTCCGTGAGAGTGGCACTGAATGAGTGGAAGCTGAGCGAACAATTACAAATTGGGGAAAGAATCTGGGTTCGGCTCCGCGCCGCATCATCTTCCAGGAAATGAGCATGATCAGTACCATACAATCAATAGCGGGCTCCCATTTAGACGTATGCGCAATGACGATAATCGATAATAGTCATATGCTCGGCGATGTTCGAAATTCGAGATATTTTCCAAGTCTTCAACCCGTAGTTTTTTTGTTTTCGATTTCCTTATCGGTGTACGCGGATCCGATTGACATGGACTAAGTGCTTCCTCTGACTCCTGGACGAGGTTATCGAGCTTCATTGATGACTCCAGGGGAAATCGGAGCCGTATGGAGACTGCTTTCACTCCCAACGCAGATGAGATCGGATATGACCGATCGATTCCCCCTGGTTTCGCTTGCGAGCTGAGGTTAGACCCCAACCGCGGAAAGACTCCTAGCGGACGCGATCAGGGTCGATCTCGAGCCCCGCTGATCATGTCAGCCGCCGCGAATTGATTGCAGGCTGAGACTCGGAGAGCGGCGAGCTCACCGACTTCGTCGGGAGCTCTCAGGAGGTTGAGAAATTCCGGAGAGTCTTAGTTTGAGCGAGAATGTCGCCCTTAGAATCAAGTTCGAGCCCTTCGATGACGGTTTATGGGGTTGATGGGGCGATCAACAGCCGGCAAATGAAGCTCACTAATTGCGATTCGCAGAGTTTCGGCGATGGTACAGATTCCGAGAACGTTGAAAATCATTAAAGACCCCGATTTCCAACGTTCACACCCCGATCTGCGGACTCCGTTTCATAAGCTTTGACCGGAGCGGATCCAAAACTCTCGCTGAGCTGTAGTCGGAAATGACTCGTGGTTTCGGGCTCCAATGGTGAAATAGAGCCTCGACATCGGCGGAGTCCTTCTCCCCGCGGAAATTATCCGATCAGATGGAGACATGCGATAGCTTGATGGCGTCCACGTCGGTGGCGATTTTTCCAGAACTGTCAAGCATGGGTTCCTTGGGAACGAAGGCATGAGATTCTTTCCTTGTCCTCAGAGAACATGGGCTCATCCGTGAGAATAAATTCCGTGCCGCACAGGAAGCCTTTGATAGTCGTTCACCCTTCGTAGCGGGTCGCCACCCCTCCCGACCGCGTCATCGGGGTTCATTGATTGGGTGCGATTGAAGAAGATGAACTCGCGAGGAATTTTTCTAGGAATACTCAGTCTCCATTTCAGAAATGAGAGAGAGCCAGATGCGAATTGAATGACTTCGAAAGATTGCGGGTCCCCCTCTCACTCAGCGAAGGTTCTATGTCTAGCTCTGCTCGTCGTCAGGTCGCACACTTCACGACGAACCTCGGTGCCTAGCACTCGATGCTCCAATACCGTTAGGATTAGCAGTGACAACGTCCAAGAGTGAGGCTCCTCGAAGTATTCTGCTTTGCAGGGAACTCCTCGCGGAAGCGAAGCGTTCTCATTTCAAAGAGCCGGAGCTCTTCCTTTTTCGAAATTTGGCGCTCAAGCTCCTTCTCTCTCTGCGACTCAGAAGAGCCGCCCGGATCCCCCTTCTGACCTTGTTGTGTGGAGAATGCGTTGATCCATTGAAACGCGGCGTCTATTCGTTGGATCTGTTAGTCAGTTGTGTGCCGCGATCAGCAGAGGAGCAAAAGTTGCCGTGTCTCGTGCCTGGTACAACAGGCATTGCTCGAAGCTTCAGTGTGACCCGTGCTACAGTTTTGTGAACTGCAGTGTCTTCCGATATATTCTTCCAGTGCTGAATCGGCGATAACCCGAGAACTCGGGAGACCGCATTCGGCGAAAATCACCAACTTTCCGAACAATTTCTCCACCGGATTACCGAACGACTCCACGGATCGTTTCCCGTACTTGAAATGAGTACCAGCCGTCTCGAGGAATTTTGTGTGCAGCGAGACCAGTGTGCCCTAGTCGTGTCCTCCCTAGGTAGGTTCTGATTCCGTGTTGTGTACAGTCGCTTCGGATACGCAATTTCGTCGCCGCCGCCAACCGCATCATAGTCGGAGGAATTCGTTGGATTTAGGAATTCCTCGCCTTCTCACAGACGGATCGTGTCGGCTCTCGATCTGTGCAACGGTTCTTCTGCTGCAGAAACCGGATCCCCGAAAGGATCGAAGTCTGAACCCAGCTCGCACCAAATCGGATACTGCTCTGAACGTGTCATCTTCGAAAGGATAAATCTCAATTGTGAAAATTTGTGAAATTTCAACGATGGAATTCCACGCACCGAGCTTCGGTGACGATTTCGGTTTGAATCAGTTCGCGAGTGCTGTCACTGCAGCTGTCACTCCAACTGCCGATTCAGTGACAACGTCGTACTATGTGCCCAGCACCCAGAGCTACGTGCAGACGAACGCTGGCGTCGGTCTGTATCAGACTACCGATCAGGATATGATGGGTTTCGCCACCCAGGATATGTGGCAACAGCAAAATCAGGGATATCAACAGCAGTACACCAATCTCGGAGTACAGCAGGTTCAGATGCAACCGCAGACGATGCAAACGACAGCGCCAACTATGCAAAATGCTCAGCCCCATATGCAACAGCCCCATCAAAGCCAACAGCAACAACAGGTTCAGGAGTTGACCCGGGAATCGAGTCCGATGGCGGGATCCCCTGACTCTTACGGGACCTCGTCGGGTGGCGGTCCGATCAAGAAACAGAAACAGACCAAGAAGAAGAAAGATCCCAATGAGCCGAAGAAACCTCTCTCGGCGTATGCCATGTTCTTCCGAGACACCCAAGCGGCGATTAAGGGTCAGAATCCGAACGCGAGCTTCGGTGAAGTGTCAAAGATTGTGGCGTCGATGTGGGAGACCCTTGACGCCGAAAAGAAGAACTCGTACAAACAGAAAGCCGACGATGCCAAGAAAGAGTATCTCAAAGCGTTGACCGCGTATAAAGCCAATCTCGTTGCCCAATCAGGCGGAGGCCAGGATTCGCTGCCGAGTCCGCCTCAGAGCGCGCCTCCTAATCAACCCCAGAATACGTTCAGCCAGACTGTTATGATCGAACAGCATCACCCAGCCCAATGGGCCGCTCAACAGATGGCCCAACAGCCTCAACAACCCGTGCAGATCATCTACGCTCAACACAGCAACCTGCAAGTTCAACAACCGGGTTCTGAATATCTGAACAACTCCAACCAAATGCACAATCAATATGCCGGCCATTCGACGCTCAACGTGCAAGTTCCGATGTCAACTGGTCAAGTTCAGTTGGTTCAGCAGCCGCAGCAGCAACAACAACAGCAACAACAGCAGCAACAACAACAGCAACACCATCAGAATCAACAGTCGCAACAGGCTTCCATTGTACAAATGAATCCGCCGGTTTCTCAAGGACAGCAGATGTTGAGCCAGCAGATGCACATGCAACAGTTGGGACAACAGCAGTCTCCGATCATGAAGTTGGAAAACAGTCAGCTGGTCCAGCAGCAACAGCAGCAGCAAGCGTCCCAGGTTCAAGCTCAGCCGCAGCAGCAACAAGCGCAAACGCATCAGCAACATCAAGTACAACAACAAGCTCCCTTGCCGCAAGCTACTCAGGCGATACATGTCCAACAGCAACTGTCAGAATCGATGACACCGGAAGCTGCCCAGCAGCAACAGCAAGCCCCGCCGCTGCAACCTCGGCCGCCTTCGATCAAAACTGAGACAGATAGTCTCCAGCAAGCTGTTCAGCAAAACGGAGCTGATCAGCGTCAGCAAGCGCATCAACAAGACTCGAAAGATTCGTTTCCTAATGGTCATTTAAACAATAATGAACCACCTCTTACGCCGACGAGCGAAGACACCGACGGGTGTATCCACAAGCCGATGTGCCGGAGGAAAGGTTGCGCCAACACCGCTGTGGACTGCGCTGAGTGGGACAAGGAATACTGCTCAAACGAATGCGTCGTCTCTCATTGCAGAGAAGTCTTCACTAATTGGGTCACGCAACGTCAGGGCGGGCAACAAGCCGGTCCTGCGGTGGTCAGTCAGTGAGGGGATTCGACGAAGACCCCGACAACATCATCAGAAACGGCGAAAACAAAGCGGCAGCAGAAGCATGAACTTCAAGAAATATATATGCAACAGCAGCGGTAACTATTCGCAGAAGCGGCATGCGGAGCGACAAGACGAAGGCCGGTCTTGTTCTCGCCCGTAGGAAAACCTCAATGGATAGAGTGAATCTCAAGAGTGTGTGTCGAGATGCAGCGTCAGTTTTAATTTATACATCTGAGGTCACACCGTGTAAGAACTTTGAGCCTACCAAGCAAGTGTTTATATGGAGTGCTTCTATCAAGGACTACTTTCCAACCGCTGCCTTCGGATACAGCCACTGTATAAAATAATATTCATCCATGATCATCATCTTTCGTGAATCGGAGTGCCTCCTCGGACGATGGACGACACTGCCCACCAATCTGACTTCCCACCAACTTACTCGAACAAGTATTCTGGAGGCAGCTGGCAAACAGGAGGCAGACGAGCAAGTCATCAGCTGAGCTGCCGAGTCAGCGTAAGCGCGATGTATCTGCAGTCTCCCACCTCCGTGCGGTGGCACCAAGTCGAAGAATAAGCTGTTGATGATTTAGTTGCTATGTAACAAGTGTGTTCTAAAAAGCTCAATGAAAAACGAAGTGTGCATAATGGGAAGATGTCCTGGTTTGACTGTTTCAACGTCGGAACAACGGATAGGCAGCAGGCTCGCATGACGCATGGTTCTCCGATGTCTCTTCGGGCCTAGAGCCCGGGAGGCCGAGAGACAATCGGGGTGCGAACTGCGATCCCGTGACCACGAATGCAGTCCGTGTCCGTGATCGCTGCTCCGCATCGAAGACCGAATTCCGGGGAGGTCAATGGTGTGGATGTCTGGAGCTTGCACGCGAGTTGTGAGAAGCGGCAGCTCGATAGATTTCTTCTTGTGTGTGGAGGAGCAGTCTATCCTGGGAGTCTCCTCCGCCTGATCGGCGAAGCGTCCATCGAGAGAGCTGGTTTACTTTTAGATTCTCAATGGTCAAGAACTTCGGGGAAGGAAATTATATGCACCACGGGGAGAGTTACGGAAGGGTGAACTCATGTTGTTTTTATTATGTCTTGTCCTATCTGTCGTAATGTCCATCCGTTGTGACTGTGTAACTGTCCGCGAATAGTTCAGTCCATCGATCGACTCGTGACAGCGGTGGTGCCAAAGAGGGCTTCGGTAGCGATGGAGTCCTAAATCCAGAATTGCGAGTTCGCCAACACTTCCCTCCATTACCTCCGTCGTTGAAGCCGACGCTCCTTTCTTTTCTCTCCAGGACGCGTAGTGATCCCCTTCTTGACCGAACCACGAATGCTCCGCAACGTATGCGAGTTGCGCCGACAAGATCACGCCATGGTTTCGATCCGGTGGCTGACTTCCGCTTCGGAAGCTGCCGCCACCGTACCCGAAGATGTTTTTTTTGGGTACACATAATTAGCTGCCCTGCGTTCCAACGACACAGTATAGCCACTGGAATCCCCAAAGACTTTGCTAAGTAGCTGCTTCTATCGGAGCTGCGATCTTTCCGGCGACGAAAGTGACTGCATGAGGAAACCACACTCTTGGCCCGCCAGTCGGCCGGTCATCTCCTTGACTGCGAGCGACTGAATTCAAACACTCACTCGGTGAGTCGAGTGAACCGGCCCGGCCCGGGAGACAGGTACAGAGCTGAGTCAGTGCAGGCTTATAGTCTCAATCGTCGAGTCGGAATGAGCCAGTTTCTCCGCTGATAGAGAAAAGAACGCTCACACGAGAATGAATACGAGAGATCCGTCGAGTGGAGATACATTTCGAGACGAGAGTGACGACCAACATCGTTGATTTTGTGAAAGTTGAGACGATTCCGAAATATGCAAACAAGACATGATAAGTGTTGGATAACCATAATGCTATGGAGATAATAATTATTATTAATACCACTATTTTCATTGACATGATAAATATATATATATATAAATATATAAATACACATAGCTCATGATAGAGGAGTTATGACACCTAGGAGGAGGAGGAGCAGTAGTAGCAGTTATACTAGAGTTGTCGTATGAAGTAGTTGAAGTGATTCGAAAGAGTCGTGACCGTAACATGGAAGAGTGCGATTCGTAAGACGCGGAGAGAGCCTCAATGAGGCGGTTTTGCCGTTGAAGAGTTTGGCAGAATCCGATGTCTGCTTGGAGTGCGTGCCGCAACACAAGTGAGCCGAGAAGGATGATATTCTTTTGCTGCAAATAGTATTTATTATCGACCGACGCGTAAATTGTAACTTAAACCTGAACAAGCTCAAGCAACGACCAGAACTTCTACAATAACAACCAATATCGACGGAAGAAGTACGGTAGAACATTTCAATCGATCGGTACAGAATACCAACAGAATATCAGTTGGGATACGACCGGATCAACCCCACGATCAAGCTGCCATCGTAAGATGCTCGGCGGTCACCGTTAGATGCTCGGCTGCCAGCGTAAGGTGCTCGGCTGCCACCGTAAGGTGCTCGGCTGCCCGGACTGAATCGACCCATCGGTACGTCGGCACGGTGACAATTGACATCGATGTCTTCGAAAAATTTCCCGGTCGGGAGGCTCCTCCGCGAGCGGACCGCTTTCGCAGGGAGCTCCCCAGTCCATTGTCGTTTCATTCTCTCATTATTTATCGTCCCATCTCCGACTCTGCCTACTTCTCTGATGACCTCGTTTCAAGCAACAACCTTTGGCCTTCTTCTCCAAACCCAGCGCGATGATCTCGTCTCAGATTGAGATAGAATATGCTTATACATGTATATGTATTTACACGAACACACGGATACAGTCAGTCCTTCACACTCATACCGTCATACATTGCCAATGTCGTTATGCTTCCGTTGCTCTAATGGTCTTCTAGTACAATTTCTATTCCGCGTGCTCACTCCTACGGAACAAGGCGATGTGTCGCAGAGAATGGATGGCGCAACGGCAAGAACAGCGGCGGCAGTCCGGCCGAGACATCTTACCCCCATCCCTGCGAAAGCGGTGCGATGTAGCAGCAGCAGAGACGACTGCAAGCCCTAGTAGCCAAAAACCGAGATTCGACATCAACATGAACCGATGAACTCGTAATCATTTAGGTTAGAGTTGGGACCGAACGAAGAAAAATACGGGAGTTATCGATGCAAGTGAAGTCTGCGAGCGAGACCATGCAAAACATGAACTAAAGAAGAGAGAGTATCCAAACCGACCGACCCTCTCGGCAAGGCAGGTTCACAACAGAAGCGAGTTTCAATGCGACGAAAGAGAGAAGAAAAACGAATGAAACCATCCCCAAAACGATAATAAACGGATTATCACTGTTTTGTTGTAACGGAAATTCTATTGTGTGGTCATTGCGGATTCGTGAGCAAGGATTCGATTCGGCTCCGATTGGAATTTCAGCTCGTTCAGATTGAGTATTCGGCATTACATATATTCCATGCTTTGATTTCCGTGTGAAGTATCGGCTTCATTCTCGAGATCACCCGCTGTGAGCTCACGGTCATAGGTTGGACACCACGAGACTCTCCCCTAGTAACAAAAGGAGCTTGGGTGTCCGCACGGACTCGTGCAGCCGGATGGAGGATCGGATGAATGGGGAGATGAAGAGATGGATAGATAGATGGATTTTTCCGCCAGAGGTAATTGAGTTTTTCCATTTCAAGGTTTGATTGAAAGCGGAACCGCGAGTTGTTGCCAAAGAACATTGGCCCCGTGTGTTCTGAACTGGGTTATAGAGGGAAAGAGGAAAGCAGCGGCCGTGTCGCACGTCGACGAGTCAGACACAGCGCGAAGGTAGAAAATCAAGGGAAAATATACCCACAGCATCTCCCTCTGGCTTCGCTGTTTAATTTCCATGAGCAGTTAATTGCCTCGTCCCACCTTCTCCGATTCTCTTTCCTCTTCGCACGCAAAGGAAACAAATCCTTTCGACTCTCGGTGATCTGTCGGGCAGATCACACGTCTCGTCTGATCGCTAGTCGGTGCTGTCCTTCGAATTAATCATCACTCCGGGAAAGAGAGCATTCTGGCCGGATCCCCCACCATAAATTCAGGAAGTCTCCAAAGGCCCCCTGTAACCGAACGACTTCCTGAACGGGGAATCGTCCTATGTCTCGCGGGAAGGAGATTCCCGCGAGCTGAGAGAGAATTTGCCGAGAAAATTCTGCATTGGACTCCGAACGTTCATGTTTCGCACTTTCTGGATTTTCAGGAGCGACTGTCATTTCCTGGAAAGTGGATGGCGATGAAGTGATCTTTCTGAGGTAATATTTGTTCATGAGAGAATTACTGCTTCGGCCGTCGCCTTCAAAGTATTGTCGGGTGTGTCGCCACGTACTACCTGGATCGTCGTACCTCCTCCACGCGATCATTTCAGTCCTGAACCGCCGCCTCATCTTCGTCGCTACGGTCATGTATTATTCCAGCGTTGAGCATTTTGTCCTCACCTTTTTTTCAGATCTTTGGGCAGGGAAGAGATCTGTTATTAATAACAACTGTTCGGAGCCTGAACACGATTACTAGCGAGCGATGCTCGATTTTCGAATTTCTCGAAGTTCTCGACTTCCCTTCAATCCGCTCTACTTGAGGAGCGGATTTCAGCGGCAGATGGATTCCATTATGATGGTGTTGTCGACTCCCGATCATTGTTTGAAGTAATTCGTTCCCCCGGCCCATCACGTGAAAGCGAAGGCCATCCGATCCTGCGCATTGCTTCGCTCCTCGTCTCACTATCCATGCAAGTCTCCTCTGTACACACCCATCAGTTTTCCTAGCTTGCGCCCGCCCTTCTCCCCTCATCGGCCGAGGTCGGAAATCCACTTTCCGGTTGTTGATTCGTCCCATTGAAGAATAGAGAAATGAGACCTCCATACAAATTGAGTGGTCTCATTTTCCACTGTTGACGTGGACCGATGGGGAGGAACGGACCAAATTTCAGCCTGGTCCCTCCGCTTGTGACT